ATTTGACCGAGAAAGAGAGAGAGAGAGAGAGAACACACACGGAGCCAGAGGCAGAGGGAGAAGCAGGCACCCCACTGAGCAAGGAGCCCGATGCGGAACTCAATCCCTAGAATCATGACCTGAGCTGAAGGCAGACACTTAACTGACTGAGCCACCAGGCACCCTGGAAGCTCCATTTGTTATAAAAAGATCTACTTGGATTGAATCAATTGTTCTTAGGAAATAAACTGGCTTATTTCACTCTCTGACTGGTTTTAAATCAGTATTAATCAGGCTTTATATATTTACAACTGACAGTGCACTAATTGCAACCAGATTCCAATCTGCTGGGCTGCACTGCATTCAGATACATACTCACTCTGAAGCATCTGGACTGTTTTCTAAATAAAAATTGCAAAGAAATAAAATGATAGACACTGTTAGACATTAGTAAAGGGTCTCCGTACTGGAAGCTAGAGGCACTGTACAGACCCTCAGGCTTTCAAAGTCCTTGTGTGGGGATTGCTTGGTTTAAAAAATTACTTAAGGGGCACCTGGATGGCTCAGTGGGTTAAAGCCTCTGCCTTCGGTTCAGGTCATGATCTCAGGGTCCTGGGATCGAGCCCCACATCGGGCTCCCTGCTCAGCGGGAAGCCTGCTTCCCCTTCCTCTCTCTCTATGCCTGCCTCTCTGCCTACTTGTGAGCTCTGTCAAATAAATAAATAAAATATTTCAAAAAATAAAAAATAAAAAAATAAATTACTTAAAAATTCTAACAGCATATTTGGGAAAAAGCCTTCCCTATTTCTGTAATCCATGATGCAAAACTTAAAACTGTGACTCTGAAGAGGGGCAGAGTGAAATAGCTCAGAGGGGCTGGGGGCATATATGAAGGTAGATCCATGGCAACATTTTTGTGTTTATCAAAAGACCGAATGTGATTTAAAAAAAGGTTTAAAGAATCCCCACTCTAGATTTTTATGAAAGAGAATGTGGTACCTAGAAAGCTATGGTGATAAACACAGAGAAATGTGGCACATTCTGAATAAAGCTCATGATTCTTACTTGACCTGAATCCAATAACTTGTAATTCCCACCTGAAAGAAATAAAGAAGAACAAAATAATGAAAGAGAGTTTGTATGTGACTCTTCAACATTTCCTGTGTACCATCCGATGCAAGAAAGACTAAAAAAAAAAAAGATTTAAAAATAAGACATGGGGCACCTGGTTAACTAAGTCGGAAGAGCACGTGACGCTTGATCTCGGGATCCTAGGTTCGAGCCTCGTGTTGGGTGTAGAGATTACTACAAAAAAAATAAACTTAAAAACAAAAAATAAAACATAAAAAACAAAAACCATGCCTGTATTTATGCTGTGATTAAAATGTCTTCTAAAAAAATCATATTCTCTGAAAAAACAAGGTACTAAAATTATACACAAAGACACATGAGGGCACTCTAACCAACAAGCATAGCAACTACAGTTTTGGCACAGAATTTAAAGTAAACTTTTTAAAAAAACTGAAGTATGGTATTTTAACATTAAATATTTGAAATAGGAAATTTCTGATGTCTTTTGGTAAAGACCTTGGGATTTTGATGTCTATCCTTGGTCACTATACTTGCCTTCTGTCTGAGTCACGATCTTGTCTGAGTATTTGTGTGGAATTAAGTTTACTTCTGAAATGGAAAATGACACTATTCTAAGGGTATTAGATTACAGAGGGTGCTTTAACCTCATCCTGGAGAGAAGCCATTTTGAAAAGCATTTATGTACACTTTATGTACAATTAAGGTGGTAATTAAAAGTCTTAAGTAGTAGGGTGGCCACAAAATTCTTTTGTAACACTTTCCTTTGGCCAGTATGTATTGCTTTCATGTGCTTTAAAATATCTCAATTACCTTTCTAGGCAAAAAAAACAATCAAAGAATGATAAATCTTGGGCCTTTAACTATTTGTATCAAATTTCATTTTTTAGACAAAGGTACTGTCCACCATCAAGTCTTACTTGTAGTTCCACTGGACAACCGTGATTAGAAAAGGTGAGAAAGCATCTATATCCTCTCTTTCCACCCAATACATTTACATTACTATTTTATTTCATCCAATGCTTTTAAAAAACTATTCAGTTTAAATACCATCTATAATTTTAACATTAAATATCTGCCATTCTGTTCTAGCTCCTGAGACAAAATTCCAAGAAAATCTGATATAAATGAGCAACAATTCAACATGTATTCAACCATCCAGGATCTCTTCCCTGGCTTTGCCAATCATTTACACCTTCCTCTGCATCATTGGTCTCTTTGGAAATTCTCTCTCTCAATGGGTATTTTTAACAAAGATAGGCAAGAAAACATCAACGCACATCTACCTAGCACATCTTGTGACTGCAAACTTACTTGTGTGCAGTGCTATGCCTTTCATGGGTATCTATTTCCTAAAAGGTTCTCAATGGGAGTATCGATCTGCACAATGCACAGTGGTCAATTTTTTGGGAACTCTATCCATGCATGTAAGTATGTTTGTTAGCCTCTTAATTTTAAGTTGGATTGCCATAAGCCGCTATGCTACCTTAATGAAAAAGGACTCAGTACAAGAGATCACTTCGTGCTACGAGAAAGTATTTTATGGCCATTTACTGAAAAAATTTCGCCAGCCCAACTTTGCTAGAAAACTGTGTGTTTACATATGGGGAGTTGTACTAGGCATAATTATGCCAGTTATCATATACTACTCAGTTGTAGAGGCTACAGAAGGAGAGGAGAATGTGTGCTATAACCGGCAGACGGAACTAGGAGCCATGATCTCGCAGACCGCGGGCCTCATTGGAACCACATTTATCGGATTTTCCTTTTTAGTCGTACTAACATCATATTACTCTTTTGTCAGCCATCTGAGAAAAATAAGGACCTGTACATCCATTATGGAGAAAGATCTGACTTACAGTTCTGTGAAAAGGCACCTTTTGGTCATCCAGATTCTACTAATAGTTTGCTTCCTTCCATACAGCATTTTTAAACCCATTTTTTATGTTCTACACCAAAGTGAAAACTGTCAGCGACTGAATTATTTAATTGAAATAAAAAATGTCCTCACCTGTCTTGCATCAGCTAGAAGTAGCACAGACCCCATTATATTTCTTTTTTTAGATAAAACGTTCAAAAAGACACTATATAATCTCTTTACAAAATCGGAATCCCCACATATACAAGCCTATAGTTGACTTCTGAATAGAAAACACCACCAAACAGAAAAGTGTTTATATGGCTACTAGGGATATTGAACTACATGATCAACAGGTCACAGCTTGCTTGAAAAGCAGGCAGTAGGAAAACCTCTTCGGTTTTAGAAATAATCATAAAATTCATTTTACAGCTCTACTAATACTGCAAGTTGAGATGGCAGAGCCTCTCAGAGGCAAAAGTCAAGCATATTAAAAGGATATCACTGCATATGAAAGCAAAAGACCATTTTCTCTTTAAACGCAACTATGTATGCTTTTCTTTAAAACACAACAGGTCATGACTGCAGGATAAAGCAGCAAATGGTTTATAACTTTTCTGCTTTCTAGTAGTTGCAGTGTAAGGGCCAATCTATGGCTAGTGTTTTTTGGTAACTTTAAAAATGAGTAAAAGAAAAAAAGTGAATCAGAAATTATGTCGCTCAAGTCCTATCCAGATGTATGAATAGCAGAGTGTAAAAATCCAAGGTTTTATAAAGGCATTATCTTGTATCATCTGCTTATGTTACTGGGAGAAGCAATATTCATTGATTCCCATATTTATTAAGCCAGTGTTTTTATAAATATATTTGAATATTTGGATTAATTTTGGTCAAAATAAAGAGCGAATATGATGTCATTATATGCCTATCTTCATCACATCTTGTAAATTTCCCTCTGTATTCAATATAAATAATGTAATTAATGACAAATGGTATCTGGCATGCAGATATGTCTAATTAATTTTTGTGCAAATAAATGAATGAATAGTAAGGGCAGTATAATAGTATTGTTGTTGAGAGATTGGTCTCGAGTTAGATTCCCTGGGTTCGATCCTAGCTGAAGCTCTTATTTAGCCAGAGAATTCTCAGTAAACTACTTAACCTCTTAAAGTGTTAATTTCATCATTTGCAGAATGGAAAAATACTATGTAATTCATAGGTACTATTATTAAATCAGATGATGTTACTATTCTGAGTAGCTGTCATTCACTAAGCATTTGCTATGTGCCAGACACTCTGTTTATATGCTTTGCATGTATTTTAATCATCACCACCATAAAGGATGCCAATTTGCTGATGAAAAACCTGAAGTGCATAGATAAGTCACCCTAATTTTCTCCAGTACCTAAATAAATATTTAAACAGTAAGCATTTCTCGGTCATTTCTTTCTTTCATGTAGCCTCGTCAGCAAGATAAATGATGGGGACTATACTCTGTGCTATACACAGTCTAATTAAAAAAACATTTTTTCATGTGTTTTATTTTCCCAAAAAGATCATAAGTGCCTTTTGAGCTGTACTCTGCTTTCAATTTCTACACCCACGGTACTTGCATTATCTGCTCAGATAAGAGCCAGACAAAAACAGTTAAATGAAACTGAAGTTGAATAAATGTTAATGGTAACCTCTTACTTCCTCAGAGACTGCTCAGAGACTCATTTATTTACTTCGTGGTCATTTCTTCGGTGATCGGAAAGAAGTGTAAAGTAAGTTCACATAGCACTTCTAAGCCTTTAATCTCATCGCATGTTTTGTTCCTGAATTAAAAAATGTAGAAACAATACACTTGTACAGATTCCACAAGAGCCATGTGTTCAATGTCACCAGAGGTTTTTCTAACACATCTGCATAATTTTCATTAAAAAAGAATAGAAAAACAGTAAATATCACCCCCTTTTAGTGCAATGCTTAACTGAGAGAAGAAAATGTTCAGAAAAACAGTCTGAAGAAAATGCATGTTGGCTCCAAATGTTTACAGGGTACATGTATTCTTTTATAGCAGTGATCTGATCTCTGGCAGATTAATTTGCAGACACAAAGGCAGACCTGGGAACTCTAGGTTGATTCCCTAAGTGCTGGCTGTAAACAGAGGTGTCCAATCATTGCTTTCATTTTACATAAGTGATACAGTATTAAATCTCACCATATATATATATGGATGTGTGTGTGTGTGTGTGTATATCTACGTCTATATGTATACCTCCTCTAAAGATCGTTATTAAAAACATCACTTTGCCTTGCCACAATTTTATGTAAAAGATATAAAATATTATCAAAGTAGAGTTTCCCACATTTAAAGAAGAGGAAAAGAGGTATGCAATTTCTCTTTAAGTTACTCATTCTGATAGAAAATTCCCATTTTAATTCTCTGTCCTGAGCTTATTATCACCATGCTCAACTTCACACCACAGATACTTTCCTGAACAGGTAATTGTAAAACATGTTGAATTTTTTTGTGTAATGAACAAACTGACCATTTAATGTCGTGGTAAATATTTTAGAGGAAACACTACTTTCTAAATTACTCTGCCTTTAAAGTGTGGATTTCAGAAAAACTGTGCTCAAAAAACTTTTATTGTAATATTTGACACAAGATGTCATGTTGTATGTTAGCTTAGTTTCAGGTGCACAGCATAGTTGATTCGACAATTCTATACATTATTCAGTGCTCATCACGGTAAGTGTAGCCACCATCTGTGACCGTATAACATTACTACAATATTATTGGCTGTATTCCCTATGTTGCACTTCTCATCTCCATGACTAGTTTCTTTTGTAACAACTGGAAGTTTGTGCCTCTTAACCCCCTTCACCTGTTTCACCCATTCCTTCACTCCCCTGCCTTCTGTCAAACACTTGTTTGAGAAAAGCAAGGTTTTTAATGCGTGGGTTACAGCCAAACAAAATCGCAGAAGCTCCAAATGTCAGCCTGTTCGCCAAACAAGCTTCACTACAGAAAACAGGCACGACAAATATTTGTTTTCCCTTTTATCCTTTCCAAATACACACTCCCATTAAGGTGGCTTTCAAACTACTCATTGGGAATACAACCATTAACAACAGATGAGCAGGGCACCTGGATGGCTCAGTGGGTTAAGCCTCTGCCTTCCGCTCAGGTCATGATCTCAGGGTCCTGGGATCAAGGCCCACATCGGGCTCTCTGCTCAGTGGGGATCCTGCTTCCCCCTCTCTCTTTGCCTGCCTTTCTGCCTACTTGTGGCCTCTCTCTCTCTGTCAAATAAATAAATAAAATCTTAAAAAAAAAGAATAGATGAGCAAACTTATGGATAGACTACTCAACCTGGAAGAGCTTCTACTTCCTGCGGGGTGGGAGGGGAAGATGTCAATCTTCTTTATTCGGTAAGGACTCTCCCAGCCCATCCTGGGCCTTGCAGGCTACAGAGTGGGGGTTGTCAGGAACAAATGTGGGAAGAAGACAAGCTGAAAGGAAATCTGGCTTGGCAAAATGCAAAAGCAGCACAGAGGGACACTGGTAATTTGCTAAGCATTTCAACCCTACCGCCTAAAGCCATGGACCTTCCTCTGACTGCTCCCAAATTCAAATTGAATGGATACTGGTGGGAAGAGTTACGACAGCTAGAAAGGTTTTCTACCTGACAGGAGAAAATGCTTTGGCCGTATCATACGTGCTCGCTGCCCTGGCGCACAAGGACAGCAGCGGTGAAAGAATTCACATCTAATAAGCAAAAGACACAGACATTCTTTTTTCTTTCCTTTCTTTCTTTTTTTTTTTTAAAGTAATCTCTACTCCCAACACAGGGCTTGAACTCATGTCCTCAAGATCATGAGCTGCATGCTCCCCCTGACCAAGTCAGGCTGGCGCCCCTCATTCTTGTCTTTCTAAATGAAGGAGATGATTTCTTTTTGGAACGGTGGGGTGGGAGAAGAGAAGCAAGGCAGTTAGAAACACAAGACAAATTTTAGATCTTATAATTCATGACGTTTTTCTAAGTACAATTATTAAAATCCCACATTCAAGCTAACCATGCATTATGTTCAATCTTGCTAAAGTAATGCAGAGGATGAATCAGTGTGCATCTTATAATAAAGAATAAACCCCCCCCCCACGTTTTCATTTTAATGAGAATTTCAATTTCTTGATACAATATGAGGGACTTCTGGGAAGTTGGGAGTAAGAGAGGTAGAAGAAATGTCAGCAACCAAGCGCAATAGGGGAAGAAATACTGTACGAAATCCATAATGCCATAGCAACTAGTGTAATGTGATGAACACCTGTTTATCAAGTCTGGCCCTACGCAGGTGAAAGGGGAACTGAGAACAGAAGGGGACCAAAGAGCAGCCAGGCGTGTTCACCAGTTAGGAGGAAAACCATTTCAAGGAAGCGCAGGCAGAAATGCTTGGGTGGAGGCTTCTGGCTGAGTGTCTATGACTGTCTGGCTCTGGGGTTTTGCACAGTTCTGAGAACTCGACACCAAGCCCCCAAACCTCCCGGGCACAGGTCCCACTCGGAACAGAAAGTAACTTTGCGCATGGCCATTTGCATTTAGAGAAGCGGCGCAACTTCAACTTCAGCTATTAAAATTGGATGTCAGTAGGTCAGAGCCACAGAAAGGTCTAAGAATGCTTCGTCTCTCCACGCCCAGGTGACGTAGGGTAAAGCTGTCTCCAGGAGTTGGGGGGCGAGAAGAAAAACCCCCTGATTCTTAATGCTTAATAGAGCCACTGAAGGCAGGCAAGGAGCCAGGCTTTGCATTTACCTTGGCAACTGTACTATTTCTTTCTAGAGTTCTTTTAATTTCGGGGTGAGAGGAAGAAATGAGAAAGATGTGAAACATAATGTAAGTTTTCGTATCCTCTCACAAGAAAATGAGGAATAAAAGGGAAGAGGACAGAAAAAAAGAAGACACGCATGCCTTAATGAATGCCTATGGGGAGGTGAAGCAGGAACAATGTAGTATTATACAGTGGGTCTTAACCAGGGGAGACTTTTGTGCCCGTGGGGACATTTGGCCATGACTGGAGACATTTCTGATGGTCACAACTAAGGGGAAATACTATTGCTATGTAGTGAGTAGAGGCAGTAATACACAGGACAGCCTCCCACAAGAAAATACCTGACCCAAAATGTCACTAGTGTGGGACACTTGGGAGTTGGGAGAAACCTGTACTACGACGATATGCTTCCCTGAATTTCAAAGCGTTACACAATTGCCTTTTATGCAATTTATGCTTCTCCAAAGCAAGTTCCCACTGCAGGTCATGAGGTACCATATATTCAAATCTAACTTTGATATGACCAAACATTTTTAGACTCAACTATAATGTTTTCAAAAAGAAATGCCTATCAAGTTAAGAAAAAACATTACTAATTAATAAAATGCCAGGACCTCTGGAAAAATCTAATGCTTTGGGATCGGTGCACGGGTTATGAGAGAGAAGGAAAGGGAGAGAACATGAGAATATTCTTGGCAAGATGAAACAGATGACTAAGTAAATGCTTCTAAAAGGAATACAACATGGCAATGTTTTTGTATTTTCTTTAGTTAAGCGTAAGGGAAGAAAACTTTGACAAAAACAAACTACAGAAACCAAAACCTATACAGAAATCTACACACAGGCCAGTCACTGAATATAGGCTATCTGAACGTGATGAAAAGCTAACAGGCTGCTTTATTAGCAAACATTAACAACGCGTCAAATAGAAATTTGAAATTATTAGCCATGTGAGATGTACTGTTATTGAAGTTTTATAATGACCACAACGTTGGAAAACTCCTGTGACAAGGTCCTGAATAAAAGTACTTTGGGTTACCTGAGTTACTAAAGTTATATTAGCAAACCCTGTTGACCCAACCTTCAGAATATATCTGGAATCTACATTTTTACTCCCTCACTGCTACCACTCTAGTCCAGCTAGGCAGGACCATCTTCTGTTTCCCTGCTTCCACCTGTGAGCCCCTAGTTCAATGTATCATCAACGAAGCAATGTACTGCTGTTACTGTGGAAAGTCAGATCACAGTCTGTTCAAAACCCTCCAGGGAATCCCCATTTCTCTCAGAGTAGAAGTCAAAGCCCCTTCCCTCCTTTCCTCTCTAACCTCATCTACCTATCCACTCTCCTTACAGCTCAATTCACCCCAGCCTCACTGGCCTCCTTGCTATTCTGCAAATAGGTCTGTTATGCTCCTGCTTTAGTGCCTTCACACTGGCTGTTCCTTCTACCCAGCACGTTCTTCCTTTGCGTATCAGTCAGCCCACTTTCTCTCCTCCTGTGAGTACTTGCTCAGATGTCATCTTTTCAATGTGGTCTTCTCTGACCACCCTGTTTAAAATTGCAACCCCTTCTCTAAGCAGTCCCTATGCCTTTGGCCACTCTGTTTCCCTTG